GTAACAGGTGTTTTTTAAGCTCGGTTTTGTGTCAACTCATTATCGTATTCCTCATGCTTTGTGGCTAGAACACCTTCCATGGCTTTTTCTCTTTCTTGGGGTTAAACATTAGGATTTTCTTGTTCAGACATGCCAGATTTTTTTGGGATGGATAAGATAAATGAATATATTCTAAGATCCTGCTATATCTGTGTAGTCTTTGAATTGCCAGACGTCAATATCTTCTAATGTTGTGAATAGAAAATCTCTTATGCTCCCATTTTTTAACCTAGATTACTCATGAATCTCTGGAGACCAAGGAATACACTTGTGTTGTGCCATAAATTTTTGACTCCGATTGAACATCCCTTACAAATCAGATCGTTATGTGCATTGGAACGAAAGCAGTATGTTAAGTTTTGTTATGAAAGGAGTTCTGACTTTTGCTCTGTTTATGTCTTATGGTTATAAGATTGGGAACTGGTCCAGATGGCTAACTGACCTATTTGGCATGGATGATGATGATGACTCACTTGAAGATGTGAATGACGATGATGACAATGATGAGAGGCAAGATAAATCATTCAAGTCTTTCCATCTCCTCAATGCGTTGAGTGATCTCATGATGCTTCCAAAGGACTTGCTCTTAAGTAAATCCATCAGAAAAGAGGTTTAGCATAAGAACTCAGACCCTTCCATTAGACTCTGACTCTCTATTCCACAGTCAGTATTTTGCAGTTCATATTCATGGTGCTCGAATTTTGGTTTTGAAGGTCTGCCCTGCGTTTGCTGCACCACTGATCAAAAGGATTCTCGACACTTTTGTCCCAGACGAATTTTGCACTGACCCAATTCCTGGCGTTGTGCTTGAAGCCCTGGAATCCGAGGTTAGTGAGCTATACAGTCTTTTGTCTCTACAGAGCTAATCAGCTATCTTTACAATCTTTTATTTTTTAGACTAGCTGCATGTTTTCTGGTGAATTTGTAGTAGGATAATTACAATAAGCCCAAAAAACCTGTAGACTCTGTAAAATTAAAACCAATTTGGTTGCTTTTGTTTTAATATAGGACACACTTGAGGTTGGGGAGGAGGCTGTCACAAACGTCCCCTGCACTGGAGCTGGTACAGTCTATTTGCCACCCTCAAAGACTTCCGTTGCGAGTATTATTGGAGAGGTTGGAGGCCAATCACAGCTGAGAAGAAGTGGGTCTTCAGTGCTCAGAAAATCATACACCAGTGATGATGAGCTTGATGAATTGAATTCACCCTTGGCCTCGATATTCATAGATTCTTCCCGGTCTTCACCAGTTGCAACAAAGCTCAGCTGGGTATCAAAGGGAAATAGCCAACAAAATGCCACCAGATACGAACTCCTTCGAGATGTGTGGATGAATAGCGAGTAGCTCTAATATGTAGAAATACATGTTCCCGCGTGTATATAGATGAATAATTTGTTTCTGTTCCGTTTGGAGTTTGTAAATCTGTGCTCCGGTTTTGGTCACAATATCCCTATCTAGATGTCGCTGTACAAAATAGCCGCAAGTCTAATAGATTCATCAAACGTTTTAAAATGGAGTACCAGTAGGATGATTTCCCAAGAAAAAAGGAATAAAAAGTTATGTCAAACTGTTATTTGTGACTGAGTGAATTCTAGCAGCCTCAGTGGACTTATTTGTATATTTTCTGAAAGACGAATAAATAATAAGGGCTTCAAATAGTCTCTCTTTTCTTTTTTATTTTTATTTTTTATTGAATGTAGTTGAATTCCATTTTCAATTAAAATTGATCTTCTTAGGTTTGGAGCATCCATCAGTCTTAGTGAGCGCCAAATGCATAACATTTTAGGAGTTCATAAGTTGCGCCAAATAAAACAAAACAACCTGCTATAGCAGAGAAGTGCTTACTTTTATTCATCAAACGTCTTCTCTGCTTCTCAGTTTTCATCTCTCACTCACTACATTACAAACTTGCATCCTAATGTTGCAAGCCACACGATAAAAATAACACTTACAAGACCAAAATTTCTTTCAAAACCAAGTTGAATATTCAACCAACTCTGTAATTCTCACATCTTATATATTTACTACACTCTGCCGGAATGCACAAGAAAAAGGAAGCCGAAAAAGACCCAGAAGAAGCCTAATTCATGCAGTTAGCTTCTGGGAAGAACTGACAGCATTTATATGCTGGAGATGTAAAGCAGCCAACAGCCCCTTCCAGGTTTCTCCGGGCGCAGCTTTGACTTGAAAATCGATGAGTTTGTTCTGTTTTCTGTAGTAATCTTCCAACGACTTGCTCTGAGATAAGAGAGGAATGGATAACCCCCCAATTAGCAACAATTCACATTTCCATTTTTCAACAGTCATAAACTAACATATAAAACAGAACAAAGTGGAAATCATAAAACAACTATCTTAAGCCCCAAAAAAGAGCACAATAGTGATACCTGCTCTGCATCAGCAGTGGAGGATTTTAGTCGTTCGTCCGGCAACTGCAGATTTAGATTACGCATGGGGATGGAGTTGCTCAAGCTAAGATATTCCTGACAAGCAGAGGAGTATCCAAAATTCACAAAAATTGCAACGTTTTAAACTTCCCACAGAAATTACAATCACAAACCATGAACGTAACTCAGATTTTCTTACAACTTAAAACTTACAGCTTGCATTCTTGTTCGAGGAATTCCATCAAGAATGAATCCGCTTTCACCTCTGTAGTATCCTTCTTCCAACCTCTTTGACAACAATGCAAAAATCACTTCGTCCGGAACAAGCTTTCCTTCATTCACCGCATTGGCAATCTAAATTACCACAAACAAAAAGAAGAAAAAAAACATAAACGCCATCAAAAGTGGTTTAATTTGGTTTATATCAGAAGGCAATAATTCATAATAGTAATAACAATCAATGAAGGGTTTAGCAAGAAAGAAAAATAAGAGTAAAAACAAAACACAATTAAAAGAAAGTGGTAAAAACAAGAAGAACAAGAAAAGAAAAACGGGACCTTCTTGTAGAGAGAAGAGCGAGGGTTGAGCTCCTGGCGGACGAGGGTGCCCATAGAAATGTGCGGAACTTCCAGAAGCTTCGAGAGCCTCTCGGCGTACAAGTGCTTCTTTGCCCCTCTGTCCCCTATCAACACCCACTGTATCCCTCTCCCCGGGACCCACCCGTCCGAGTCCAACATCCGATTCCGACTCGCCGTTCTCCGATCTTCTTCCTCATCTTCGTAGTAATAGTCGTCATCGTACTGCAGCTGAGCCGCAGCTGCCGATCCGTAGCCCCGCCGAGCAGGAAGGCGGAGGCCGCGGCGCGTTAGCTGAGATGCAACGAGCTGGAGGCGGCTGAGTACGGCCATGGTGGCGGCCAGCGCTAGCTAATGCACAGTTTGTCTAGGGTTTTAGGGAAAGAGAAAAAGAGAGAGGCTTTTGGTTTTGGGGGAGGAGACAGACGAGGGGTTTTGTTAATGTGAGTGACTCAATGCCGTTGGTTGGTGCATGGTCTAGTTACGTTTGATGCAACTCCTTTAACTCTTTGATTATAGAGTGGGGGTAAATTAGGGAAAATTCATCATGATAAAATCTACGTGTCAACATCTCACCAGCCTTTTCGCTGGTACTGTTTGTAGACAATTAGACCCCGAAAGTCGGAGATCCACGTGTTGAATGTTGAGCTGGAGTAGTCCACAGATAGTGGAGGGGAAGGTTGGTGGTGAGTGCCACGTGGATGGTATCTCTGCTGTCGAGAATGCTTCCCATTGGAGTAGAAGTTAGAACAAGAAGAGGAAGTGCTGACGTTGCAAGATTACAACCAAGGAAACAGGTAGCTTCTCTTCCATTTTTCACTAGGATAGATGGATGGGCCTTTTTTTAATATACCAAAACATATTTATGGGCCTCTCGCGAAATTAAATTGTTGGGCCTCGAAAACGAAAAAGAATATAAAAAAGATTTATTCACGGTGGGGTTGAGATTATATTGCTTTTAGAAAAGAGTCTGAAAGAGTGAGAATTTATCTTTGCTTCTACAATGAAAAAGATAAATGTTAATTATGCTTCGGCTCTGTTTCTGTTGTAGTGATGGAATGGAAGATTATATATATATGTTGAACAAGTGTTCTCTTTCCTTCATGCTCAGTGCTCACACAAGAAAATAGCAGCAGCACTCATTTTTGTTGATCTCTTCCTCTCTGAAGGGGCCTTTTTGGGTCTGCTGAATCATCTTCTTCTAACGTCCACCGCAGTATTTGTTTAAAATCCAGGTACTTAATAAGATTAATTACCTCAATCTCTTCTTTAGATCAGATGAAATGATATATTAGATATGGTTAAGGTTATCTTTTTCAAACTTCCTCTCTTGCAATCTGTCATCATCCTCTCATCTCATGCATACTTAAATTAAATGGATCAATTTTGTTTTAGCATTAATCATTTCAGGACAATTATATTCACAGATTGGGAGCATATATCTATTCTATATAGTAGTCATGGCAAATTACAGTAACGTTGATAGTACATCGATTCTTATAGACGATGGCACTGCTGAAGAATTGAGAAAAACCATAACAACAAATCTTCTTGGCGATTCACCCTTGCCTGCTTGCTGCTGCATCTTCAGAGTTCCCGAGTTGATTCGGAGACAAAAAATAGCCGCCTATGAACCTGACGTAGTCTCAATTGGGCCATTCCACCGAGACTGCAGCAAAAAATTCCAACTCATGGAAAATGTAAAGCGGTGGTATTTACAGTGCCTTCTCTCTTCATGCTTGGATATAAGTTTGGATAGTCTGATCAAAGGCATCATGGAGTTGGGCAGAAGCGCCCGTGAATGTTATGCAGACCCGTTGGAGCATCTCAGTCAAAAAGAATTCGTAGAAATGATGATACTTGATGGTTGCTTCTTGTTAGAACTATTCCGAAAGGAACTTTGGGATGATCTACGAGATGAAAACGACCCCGTTTTCAACCTGTCTTGTATGCTGGAGTATCTGTACCATGACCTTCTGCTGCTAGAAAATCAGCTCCCTTGGTTTGTGCTGGAGCGTTTATACAACCTAACCGCCAATAACGCTAACCAAAAAACTGCCTCCCTCACTGAACTTGTGCTCAACTTCTTCAGACAAGCTGTGACCGATGAACGGATTTTCGACCCCAACCTCCCATTTGAGATTTTGCACATACTTGATCTGATAAGAACCGTGATCGTTGTTCCATTCAAGGATTTGAAATCTCAGAAGAAGGAAGAGCGTGTGGAAGAACAAGAAGAGCAGAAAAACGAGCCAGAATTGCCACAACGGATCCCAAATGCAACAACTCTTTCGGAGGCAGGTGTTCAGTTCAGAAGAAGCAAAAACACCCCAGAGTGCATAATGAACATAGAGTTCAACTTCAAAAACGGGGTATTCACAATTCCACCGCTGGGAATTGACGAGAAAACAGGGCCTCTGTTCAGGAACCTCATCGCCTTCGAACAATGCCACCACGGTCGGCTGCACAAGATAACATCCTACGCCGTTTTGATGGACAACCTCATCGACACGAGCAAGGATGTAGATCTTCTTCGTGAGAAAAAAATATTGGCGAATTGGTTGAGCCCTGAAGATGCCTCCCAGTTCTTCAACGAGCTTTACAATGACACAACTGTCACTGGATTTTACTACAGAGATCTCTGCAATGATGTGAATGAATATTACAACACTGACTGGAACAAGTGGAGGGAAAAACTGAGGCGTGACTATTTTTCTACCCCATGGGCCGTCATTTCTTTCATCGCCGCCTTTATCCTGCTGGTCCTCACCCTAGTGCAGACCGCATATACAATTATTCACCCTTAATTCGTTCTTTAATTTCTTTCAATAATATATAGTTACCAACGCTTAATAAGCAAGCTTGGATATATATATATGTAATCTTAATAAGCTTTGATGCCGCCCAGTTTGTCTACGGTCTTTAATTTCTGAAGCTCTGGAAAATTCTGGAAACTAGCCAGATATTTTCTAGTCTCTGTAGAACCAGCAGCAGCAGCCTTGCTAATATCTATCTAGAACTACTCTTTGCCGGACTTGCCGACCATGGCCTGGCCGGTTTGTCTTCATTCTTCCAAATTTTAATTTTAATTGTTTGGAAAGAAAAAACCAAACGAGCAGTCATTTTTATCAAATATTTTGGGCGCCAGTGGGTACAGAAAAACGAAAACAAAGAGAATATAACTTCAAGGAAGTTGCTTGCTACTTTCACGATGAATTAATGTTCTTTTCTTTCGGGTGGTTGAGGTGGTTTTGACAGTTGGCTGGCAGTGGGCCCATCTATTTCCTTCGAAAGAACCTTGAATTGTAGTCGGTAATTAAAATCTAATTTGTACACCTTACCTAGAAAAACCGGTTTCTGAGATTCCTTTTATAAACAGAACAAAAGGTTTTGGTTGGTCAAGAAGAGTAGGGTCTTCCACACGTATTTACGAAACTACCCAGGACTTACACACCAGCGTTTGGTCAACCACGACACGACACGCGGCATTGTTTGTGGCCATATAACCTCTGCTCTTACGTGCATTGTAAAAAGAAGACTAGTTGTTGATGCTCAAAATGGTTGGGCCAAGATTGAGTCCAACTTAGTGATGAGGTGTGATGGATGATGGGTGAAGGTTTGGACCTT